TCACAGCGAACTTATTGAGACGCGAGAGAATACGCGAAGGGGGGGGGGCGGGGAGGGGGCACGCGACAGCGGCAACGAAACTCCTCCAACGAAAGAGAGTTTCGGCGATCCGTAGCGATCCGTGACAAACGAGGCAAGGGCGAATAACAAAAGCCCGACCCTTTTTTTTTTTTCATTTTCCCGGCGAGCGACGCGCGGCCGTAAAATAGCGAACTGGAAAAAGCACGCTCAGCTGCGACACGTCGCAGCACGCGATTCGGTGCAATTTATAAGGAAGAACCGAGGTCGTCGACACGGAGGAGAGAGAGACGGAGAATCGCTTCAAATGTTCACAGTGGGGCATGGATGCGCATGATGGTGGGCAGGAAGGGGGACAGTAGGTACCTGTGAGTCACGACGGGACTCACCACCCCGTGTTCGACGTATCTGATTTGCTGCTTTTCATTGCGCCCGGATGAAGTAGAAAAAGCTGTTTACCCAGCTAGGGCCTATCGCTTTGGTCAACGTTTATCATCTACGTTCGTTTTTGGAAGAGCTTTAGTTGGGAAACGTATAATCTGCCTACACTTATCTGTCTCTCTCCGAGATAGATGGACATCGTAAACTTCAGAAGCAGATTGCCCTGAACGCGCGGACGCGTTAAAAAGTCATAACGATTTGAGAACGAGATCTATCTGCCACCGAGCGATCGCTGATTTCAGCGTAAAGCACCGCGATCTCTTCGGACAATCGTCTCTGAAATTCGTTCCCGTGCAAGAGCACCTCTCTCTTCGTCCTCGTCTCTCACGAAACAAGAGCAGAGCGAATAAGGATCGTTAATATTTGTATTTTTCATTCATCGAACGCGAGCGATTAAATCGGCATCGTCCGCAGTTTCCGCCTCTTATCGATATTTGCACTCCGCCAGTGCGTGCTCGAGTGCCTCTATCTTTTCTCTTTCCCCAAAGTACAATGGCGTCTGGTATAGGCCTTTCGGTACAAACGGACGGCGACATAGGCTGTCGCCGATGTTGCAACCACTCAGCTGGCGAATACCAACATTGTTGCTGCGCTCAGCCGCACAAAGGAGTAGTAGTCTCCATATTAAGCTCGAATTTGTGCACGCGCGCTCGAGATGTCGTGTGTTCACAATCCGTGGAATATACTCGAACACATATATTGCCCCTTTAA